TGGTACTTCAGGTGATGAGCATCAAGCAGCCAGGTATTTAACAGTCCCTTGAAAAAGCAACTTGAATCCAGCACAAAATGTACGAGCGAGTAGCACAACAAAGACAGTAAATACGAACTAGATCAGCCCCTTGGCTTGGTTACAGATTGTTTCCTGCTGTAACGTGAATTCAGAAAGATATATAAAAAGCACCTAGCCTCAAGTGTGTGAGTAGGTTTCGAGGGCATTACTTGAATCTGTCTTTAACCTGTCCATCTTTACTGGTGCATTAGAGGATTCTCATAGGTAACTAACGGGAAGTTAGTGGGAGCCCGCGCCAAGGACCAAAAGCCACTTTTTGTACCTAGAGAGGGCATGGTTGGTTGTTTTGTCCACTTTGCATCCCCTACGGCTTGGTCTCATCGCAGCCCGCGGGAAACCGCGCTGATGTGTTTCGCAGTGCAGTGAGCACAGCTCCCCGCTCCTCGCCGCCGAAGGCGAGCCGAGCACGCCGGCGGGCACCGGCGCCGGCGCCGGCACTGTCACGGCGGGCACCTCCCCGCAGGCAGCCACGGGCGCCCAGCCGTGGGAGGAAATGGTGGCTGCCAGCCGTGACATGGGTGGAGCACCTCGCGCCGGTTGTCCCGTGGGAGATAGCTTATCTGGGGATGCCTGTGTTTCTGGAATAATACACATTTGATTGAAAGCCAAAATTAGAGTAGGGAAGAAATTGGCTGCCAAGGGCTGATTGGCACGTGGAGTCAAAGGAGGGGCAGCATGGACCCCTCGGGGAGGATCTCCTTATCCCTCAGCACCAGTCTGCTCTACCTGCAGGTGTGCCCCAGCAGTTCGTACTGCTGCTCCTCTTGCTGTTATTTTCGTTTCACTTTAAAAAGCCAGCTGAGAGCCTCTCATTAGGAAGCCTTCATTTTTATCTACCGCCCCCTCTTCGCCATGTTGCAGCCCGTGTTAAAGACTTCGGCTCTCTTGAGAAAAATGATAAGGTCGCTGGGCTGCCCCACAGGCCTCGGATGCTCGCCTCCCGCTGTGAGAGGGGTCTCCCTCCTGTGACACAGTGACTGCTGGCTCCTGTTTTAACAGAAGCCCTACGTAACAGCTTGTGCAACGTGGGCTGCATACAGCCCCTTTTATTTGTTGAGGTGTTTCCTCTTGTCCATAGCAATTAAGTTGCACTGTAGGCTCTAACTTCTTAGCCAATTCTGAACTGCCTCTAACTTTCAGCATTTTACACATGCAGACACCACAAATACTTGATTAACTGGGCAATGTGCTATATGGAGAAAGAAGAGGGCAAAACAGTAATTTTTAAGAGCACTTGGATGCCTCTGCTTTTTATATAGCTAAATAACTAGTTAGTTTGAATCAGTCCCACCTATGTTGTGGTGTCTTCCGAATTTTAATGATGAAGTGCTGAGGGCATTGCAGAACTAATTATGGTTGCTCTACTCAGACCTTTTGTTGGCCTTTTTTGCAACTACATGATTCTTCATGTCGCTTCAGAAGCTCATAAGGGAAAGATACTCTTAATGGAAACATAATTTAAGTTAAAGAATTGGTCTTTGTTGTTGTCAAGTCTAGCCACTGACTACTGACTCCTTCTGTGGACAAACTTGTGTGCCTTACATATGTGAGAATGGCATCCTCCACCTGCAGTGCTTTTATGTGGTAAGAACAGAGCAGATGCCACAGTAAATGACCATGATGTAAAAAGAAAAAGGTTTAGATTTCAGGTCATAGCCAAGTGGTAGAATTTGGTACACTGTAACAAAACAGAATAGCTGTTATGTCTTATATCAGAAATAACAGGTGGAATTGCTAGCAGTATTCTGTTTTCTGGTTTTTGCACTTTTGTAAGCAGGAATAGGTCCTGGCTGCTTTTGTTGACACGTGTTGGCACGCTGAGGTGGTTTATTTTGGCCTAATAGGCTTTTTTTTCATCTTATTCTGCCTTTTTAGCAACATTTTCTATAATTTCTTAGAAAGGATGGTGTTAAAAGTTTTATACTCCTCACCATAACCGTGCTAATCCGCTGTTCAAATCATCCAGGTATTATTGCAGCTTCATCTGTCTGCTGCTTGAATAGTTATGATGCCTTCATGAACAAATATTGTTGCATTTTACCATTTAAACACCAACTAACATCAACAGAATACTTCTGACTTGGAATAACAAATGAGCCATTCAAACAAAAAATTACATGCACCCAAATTATTTGAAGCAACTTGACGAGAGGGCTTTTCTTCACTGTTGGCTACAAAGTGCAAGCAAGATATTGCATGGACCAAAAATCAGATTATCGTGGTTATTTACAAAGGCTAAAGGATAACTTCTTAAAGGCAGGTATATGCCACAAGACACAGTTAAGTACCTAGTGGGATAAGAGCTCTAAAGATGCTCAAATCCCATTAAAAAACAAAGGGAGCTAGAGAACTCTATTTTTAAAATGCTCCAGAAGCTTCAGTGTGATTTATCTTTCTCTGTTATTTTTTAAATTCCTTTGATAGCCAGGACTTACTCTTTCTTCTTCTTTGAAATTCCCAGCAGAGAAGAATATGACTTGGGAGGTGAATTCCCCCTTCCAAAGGGGGTTTTGGCCCAGGTACTTAAACCTGCACTGGTGCCAAAGTCTCACAAAACCTAAAGGATTTTACATCTGTGAGGGAGTCCCATAGCTATAAGAGAAGGTAACTTGCCCATGCATTGAAAAGAAATTACTAGTTCTTCACATGCCTTTTTTGACAACTGCCTATTTCTCTGTCCTTTAAAAGCCATCCTCCACATCCTCTTTCCCAGGAGTTCCATTTGGTTTCTCATTTCTTCCCACTACCAACTCTTTTGCTCATTGCAGAATGCCTCCCTTCCCTCTCCACATTGCTCAACTCTTTCGAGGGAAGTGTGACTGTCACCTCGTCCTCCATCCTGCCTTCCTGACTGTCCCAGCCCAAGTCCCACAGTGAGCCAGCTACACTGCTCTTCAGTGATAAATCATATCATCACCCCTTTCCCCTTTGACATGTCAATTCTTTTTTTTTTTTTTTTTTCAAAGACTTGCATAAACCACCTTTAACCATAGAATACATAACAGTCTTTGTAACATAAATTTCACATGCTCTTCAGAAAATCCCAGTCAACATCAGAGACCACAGGACACCCACCCAGTGCCCTGCTTTTGGTTAACTTTTCCACACTCTGGGTAGGTAAAAAGGGACCAGGGGAGAGCTGTCAGTTCAGTGACACTGGTGCACTCCACACTCCTTGCACACACACAAAAAAAAATGGTTTGGATTAAATTCCCCTGAATTGCAATAATGTGTACAAAGACAGTAAAATACAGAGCCTCTTAAGGTCATCTCCAACCAAACTGAAGTAAATTAATTAATGAGTAGTATCTTAATGGTGTTAGAAGAGCCAATGAGAAATTACTCCCATGAATTATTGTAAAGCTAATTAATGTCTGCATGTATGTGTACATAGACATGGATGTGCACATAAATTATTTCTACAAAGACTGCATTGTAACTGTTAGAGAAACCTGTACAAATGCTGAGTACGTTCTTGATCATTGCATCTGAAAAGTCTTATTCCCAGGTTTTTGTCACATTATCAGTGCTCCTAGACTGTACCCCACTGTATCAAGGGAGGGACAGGAACCTGTCTCACAAAGGAAATAGAAAACACTGTTGATTTTTATTTTCAGTCTGTCTCTAGAAAAAGAATTGTATAGCCTGCCTTCCCATTTCTCATTCAGATTTAATAAAAATCCTTAGTATTTCTACCGGAGGTATTTCTCCTGTTGTGTCTCCTACATCAGTGGGGCTTTTTTCACTAGATTTCCTTTGGAAAACAGGTTTGCAAAAATTGCTTCGCTTGAATAGTAAGAGATTTTGTTTGTTCGTTAGACCTATAAAATCTCTGTCAGGACCCAGGGCGTGGTGGGTGGCCTCACCATCCATCATCTCTCACTGGCAAAGCGAGCTCCGCGCTTGAACCGAGCTCCTGCCGTGAGCTGGGCTGCAGAATGGGCACGCTTGTGAGGGCACCCCGAATGTTCGGCCTCGTCTGCGAGGGGACATGCACTGAGCAGCACTGCTCGGCAGCCCAGGGCCTTAGCTGTGGAGAGCTTTAAGTGAAGACTGACTGGATCAATATCCCTATCATTGCTTATGTCAAGTAGTGAACTCCATCATTACTTGTGTCAGCGTGCCCCATGGCATGTTAATTTGCCCGTGGCTGTTCATAATATGCAGGGTATAGTGTGTTTGTGCAGCTACTTTTGGGTAGACACATTGTGAGGACAAGCCTTAGAAATATAAACAAAAATTATGTCAATACAGACAGTTACATATATATATATTTATATGTTTATATATATATATATGAATTTTTTTATATATATATATATATATATAAAATTGAACTCCCTCTTCTTCCATTGCATAAGACCAGCAGGTGTGAGAAGAAAACAATGCAATTTCACTTTTTATAGCTGCAGTGATTAGAAACAAGGACATATAAAGAAGAGATCTCCAGTGCACAAAGAGGGCACATTGACAAAACACAAATCCTGAGAGGAAGCGTGCACTGTAGGGGCCTGCGGTTTCTCTGGGGGTGGGAGAAGGCTCTGAGGTGCTCTGTTCCCATTGACCCTTTCCAGACACTTTAGCAGAAGTTCCTCTTGACTTCAGCAGGAGTTAATGCGAGAGCAAGGGGAATACCCAAGAGAGGTTATGCATTTAGAAAACATGATTAAACTTGTTGGACGCTTTGGAAGAAAAGGGCATTTTTACAAATGGGAATTGTTGTGGGCACATCAGGATTCCCCTGCCAACTAACTGTCCTGCTGCTGTTCATGCTTCATCCTAAATTGCTTGTGTTGCTTCTGTGATGATAGTTCTGTCTTTCTCCTAGGTATTTCTCCTATAGCAATAATGCCATCTTATTTTACATTTACTGATAGCAGTTCCACAAACCAGCATCCTGTTTGCCTTCTTTATTGCAGCTGCATACGGTGCAGAAGGCTTTAGGGACTTTCATGCAATAATTCCCAAATCTTTTTCCCGTAAGTATACTGCAAACTCAGCTCACTACAGAGTATTTCCATCTAGTTCCTACTTTTATGATTTTTGATTGTCTCATTGCACTTCTGAGTAATGTACATTTGTCTGCATATGCTACCAATTGTCTTAAGGAGTCTGATCTTTTTGCTTCATTCACATGTATTTTGTTTTAACTTAACATAAAGCCTACTTCAAAAGCCACCTTCTCCAAATCCCTAGCAGGCAAGGAGCCTGTAATTGTTATGTGTAATTATATTTACATTCAAATTATTATTCTTATAATTAAGAGAAAAAAAATGGTTTATAAATTATGGAAAATCTGTCATATGCTCAAGCCAAATAATCCTATTGCTTCCAATTGCCCTGGTGAAAACAGCAGTAGGGATTGTAGTCCACTAAATTTGCAGAAAAGTGTAGATCACTTCTGTTTAGCCAGTCATACCATCTTTGTAAATCACTGTTTGGTCATTGATTATGGGTTTTTTTTTCCATATCTCTGAATTATTCCTCCTTTTAGGGCATACATTTTAAAGAAAATACCACTGTTTATGCTTTACACTCATTCTGTCTTGCATATGATTTCTGTTAAAAACGCAATATGTTAAAAAATCATTAAAATGACTAGATTGGTAGACTTTATAAAAGGTGTCCAGTCAAAAAGTGTTCTGAAATGTGGGCACCTTTACACTCAGCATGTTTCCCAGTAGGATTTTGAGTCAGATACTCTTGTCAGTCACATCCACACAATCCTTCTGGGACACCTGGGTGTTTGCAGGGTGGAGCAGAGAAGAATTTGTCAAATCATTAATTTTCAAAGGAATGTCAAGGTCTTTCATCTCTTAAGATAATTATTGCACATAGCTTAATTATGTCATTGCTGCACCACCGCATCTGAATAAGGCTACCATGAAACTACTGTTCCCCAAAAGGAAAAGACCTGGTCTTTATTGGGTGAAACAGACCCCTCGTACTCAGCTAGCCACTAAAGTGAGTGCTCTCTTTTTTGGGGTGGGGTGAAGGAAGAGGTTTTTCACTGAAAGGAAAGTAAGATTTGGGGCAATAAAATGGTCTTTTTTACCCTAATGAAGAACTATTTTTTCACCAAAATCGTCAGATTAGAAAAGAGGGAAATAACTGAAAAGGTGATTTATTCTAAATAAAACATCATACAGTCCTGTAGAGAGACGAGGAATGAATACTGTTGTAACTGATCTGAATCTTGGCCCTTTCCCATAATGTTTATATTTCCTGTGTTCGTATCAGATCAAATTTACCAACCTATGTGTTATCACATGTTATGAGGCTGTGCCAAATTTACACCTCGGTTCTTCCTCTAGCTGCAAGCAATTGTCACCTATGGGATTATAACACAGAGGACTTATCCAATAAAGTCAAAACAGTTCTCCCACCCACCCTTGTTGATTTGACTGTTTTTTAATAGCAGCTCAGGGCTGTAGAGATCCTCTCCTCTTAGTGATCCTGCTGTCCTAAAAACACAATTATCACTCCTATAATTTCCTATAATGCTAGTTCTTGCTCTTAAATTTTTCTTTCTGTCCTTCCCTACCCTGGTTTCTTTATCAGTGCTTGTACTTTTTACTTTCCCATTGTGCTTGCTTACCCCATAGAAATGCAAACCAAATATCTGAATTCAGTACAACCCTTAGGATCTTCCTGACAAGTGGAGAATGTTGCATTTTCAGTTCATTTTCATCCATTGTATTTGACGAGTGAGTTAGTTACTTTCACAATTGTTTTGGACAAATCCTTGTGGATTCTTTTTAAGTTTCATTCCAATTAGCCTGAATTGTCAAAATGAATGTTACAAATGCAAAAATCTCAAAGTGACATAGGAACAGACTTGTAATGTTGTTTGGGTTCTCATCTCCCTAGATGCCTTGTATTTGTCTTACTGATATTCACTGTTCATTGCTCTATGTGTTACAAACTCATCACATTGCCCATAGAAATGTAGTCGTGTTTGTAGCTTTTGTTATTTAGGTATGTCGTACATGCTGTCTAGAAGTTATCTCCTTTGATGTGATTGTTTCTTTGCCACCATATTTATTCTGTAACAAAACTGAGTGGCATCCTGTATTGTTTTTTTCAGCCGGTAATATTAAAATAGAGACTCAGAGTGATGAAGAGAATGGGCGTGCCTGTGAAATGAATGGGGAAGAATGTGCGGAGGATTTACGAATGCTTGATACCTCGGGAGAGAAAATGAATGGCTCACACAATGGCCCAGGCAGCAAGGCTATGTCAGGAGTTGGAGGCATTCGACTTCCTAACGGAAAGCTAAAATGTGATATCTGTGGGATAATTTGCATCGGTCCCAATGTGCTCATGGTTCACAAACGAAGCCACACTGGTAAGGCCTGCCGTAGTTTTTCCTTTAGTTTACAAGAATTGGCCACATATTAGGAACTAAGACTTCTTTTCTGTATCTTGCACATGTTCCCTCTTGTAAGATAAGTTCCCTCTTGTAGCATCAGTGGGCATTTGGAACTTGGTTATTTTGTTAATGCCTTTTCGGACAGCACAAGAATTGAGATTTCTTCGTGATAGAAGTCCACCTATTGGGCTGGAAATTGTGCAGTTTGTTTGGTTTGAAACTACATGAAAAATTCAAATTAAAAAAAAAAAAAAAAAAGTAAAGAAGTGTTGTTTAATTTCTAAGAAATTTCTAAGAATTGCTGATGAAAAACCCATTTGTGGCTAACTCTGAAACTGACCTGGTTCTAATGTTTCCAACAATGCAACAAAGATCATTATAGGTCACTATTATGAAAGTGATTGGGAAAATAAATGTTAAGGGAACTGTTCCAGCAGTCTTAGTAAAAAAGGGGTTAATTTTATGTCAAATGTTTCATGAAGTAAAAACAAGTATTCTCACTGGTCAAATGTGGACTAAAGGGTTTCCACTGGGACACTAAAAGAGACTTGTAAAGATGTTGTGCTCCGTAGGGATGGCTTTTCATTATACAGTGCTGTGAAACTTTTTGCCTCAATTTTCTAATTCTAAATAGTCTCAGAGTGCAAAAAATGAAGAGACTGAAACAAATGAAGAAGTAAAGACCAGGGTGAGTCTCATCTTACCTGATATAAACTGCCTAAAAATTAGACTTCTGATCTAAACTCTAAGGTCATCTGTACTCAAAGGATAAGAACTGAACTGTACTGTTGTGCTACACAAGTTACTCTGAAGTAAAGTATTTGGCATTTTTGCATGAATATTCAAATGAGGGAATTTTAAAATATTTTAAGGTAAGAATGGCCTGTCCAATGGTTCGATTCCACTTAAATAGTTCTGCTGGTGAACACGTAGGTACTTTCTTCCTCCGCTTCCCCCCAATCATGCTTAAATGATTTCCCCAGAATTATTAAGAAGTGAGATTAGGAGAGTCTTTTCAGAGTTTAATGGAGAGGATCCATGAAAAGGCCCTGAGTGTTTGTCCATCCCTCCCAGTGCTAATGTCTGTCATTGTAATGGTGGCTGTTCGAGCTCTGGAAGGGTGCGATCTGTTAGTATAACATGGGTTAGCCACATTCCGAAGCAATGCTGGTGATAATTAGCAATGCTGTTACATTGCCTACTTCAAAATATTCTTCAATTCAATAGGATAAATCCTGCTGTCAGGGAAAAGCACATGATTATCTTTATTGGAAAAACCATAACTAGTTCTCAGAAGAGAGGCTGCAGCCTCCTTCCTATATATAACAAAGTGTTTGTTAGTTGATTATTTCTTTGGGTTTTTTTTTCTAATTGAATGTTAATGTGATCCTTTAAAAGTTGATAAAATGTATGTGGAAAATGACTTGGACATGAGGCCTTTTAAACAGGCCCATGGGCTTGAAGAGGATACTGTAGTAGTTGAAATAAAACGTTCCAACTTAAAATGCATTTAGATGTAGAAGTCTGGCTTGTTTTAGGAGGCTGCCGTTCTATTAGAAGTACGCTGTGACTGCTTCGGAGGAGCTGTTTCGGGTCCCTGAGGCAGCGTTTTCACCGGGGCTAAGTGGCCTGTGTGGGGACGTACCTGATTTTAGGGAGGTGGCAGGCAGAGCTGCCTTTATTTCCGTGCACTGGTTGGTACCCAGCGGCCGAGTCCCCGAGGGTGAGCTGGGCCACCCATTCCCTGTGGCAGCGTCCCCGGGGGACGCCCCGCCGGTTTCCCTGGCCCAGGTCTCCAGCTGCCCAAAATCCCGCCTGGCAGAGGGGCTCATGGGGTGCCACCACGAGGGCAGTCATGCCGACCCCTCTCCGCCCTACGCAGAGCGCGCCCCTTGCCAACAGGACCCTGCTTTTAATCAGGGAATGCAGTTAAAACCTACAGTGGAAGCACCCCCCCACAATCAGCACTTTGCTCAGCAGGACCCCCTTCTTTTACACTTAATAATAAAACTAAAGGGTGTGAAGTTGTGCCCCTGCGTCCTTCCATGGAAAGCGAGCCTTTGCTTTCCTTCCTGCCTCACCTTTAGCTCCTCTCCTGAGCAGCCTCTTCGGTCGAGCTCAGGTGGTTTTTCCTGGGCTGGCAAGGGAATGGAGGCTCAGAGCTGGTAGTTTAAATTAAAGGGACGTCATGGGGAAACAGTGGTGACTGCTTTTCCTTTCAGCTGCGCTATGAAAATTAAAGTAGAAATGGGATATACTATTACAGACATTTAACTGACTACGCTGAAGCCCATTTCAATACATACCCAGTGAAGGAATAAGCCTCACAAATGAATTACTTTGCTGCTAATTCATGTAAAACCTGCATATGCAGTGAGGTTTCCTTAAATAAATATTTGATAAGTGAACAAAACTCTAGCACACTAAAGTGCCAAAATAAAATGACTGCCTGACCTGATAAAAGCCATAATTACTTTTAATGAATACACCTGCCAAGTGCAGATATGCAGAGCAGCACCTGGTATTTCTGCCCCCTCCTGTCTGCAAGCAGCTGTACAGCACTGACTGCTTCCTACCGCCTCACCTGTTGCTCCCATTTGCGGAGCAAATCTTGCTCACAGATGCCCAACTCTCCTCACTCTCCTTCCTCAGTATAGCCTCAGGGCTTTCAGTATATTGATTTTCTCCATCTTGCCACTGTCTTGCTTGTTGTTTAGGAAAAGTGAGATCTAGAAATGAGAGAGAAACCCCTCCTCCTGCTCCCTGGTGCTGAGACCTCATGATATAGATTCAGGGTTCACTTGCTCAGTGTGCATATATGTGTGTGCTTGTATATATGTGCATATACATGTCTGTGTGCATAGGTATATATATTCCCCCCCTTATATGTACATTTCTTTAACTTGAGTCACCAGTTAGTTCACTTATGTCTTGTTAGTGGGGTCTGGATGTCTCAAATTTATTTAGAAAACTAATGCCCATTGAAGAACAACAATTGAAAAAAAAAAAAAAAAAAAAAAAGAGCTATGGAGCTATGCACATATCTGAGTATTAGCTGATTTTGTCATTATATTGTTAAAGAAATAAGAAAGATTTCAATTAGGATGATAAATATTTTTCACAGAATAAGTAGTCCAGGGCCCATGCTCCCACTAAGGCTTGCAATTCACTGCAGTGGTGGTTGATTCAGTTCAAGGTCCCATTGCAGCTTTTGCTCCTGGGCCTATAGCTGTCCACAGCTACACAACATGCAGTGAAATCCGCCCAGGATAGACATGTGCTGTTCAGAACTGGCAGGAAAATAACACACAAATCTGACTGTTTAAACAAAAGTTGCATTATGTATTTTTACTTTCCCTCCTGTCCCTTTCCCATTTTTGGGGGATAGCACCACACTGAGCAACCTTCCATCAGCGACCGCCTCCATCCTAGCAGAGCTGGGAGCTTTGCTGGGGTCACAAGGCAGGCATTCCCCACCCTGGTAGTTGCAGCATGGATGACCAAGGGCCGGCCAAGCTACGTGTAGTTTCAGGGTCTTTCAGTGGTCATGTTTCCCTTGTACAGCAGGTTCCCTTAAATTTGATACCACTGTAAGCTTTGTAGAAATATTTGGTATGCAGCAGTCTCATCTGAAGTGCTCCATCCATCTGTCTTCTCCATCCAGTGCGAGATTTCACCCTGTAATTGTGAGAGCTGTAGGCTGGAGAGACATTTCATTCTTACTTTGCATTACATTTCATTCCTGGAGTACTTTTACAATCCCTGTTTTCTCCTCTTAGCTTCTCTGAGTAAAAATAACGGAAATTACGGCTAAAAAAGCTGTTTAGTAAGAATTAACCATTTCTTCCGAATTTGGGTCCCCCACGACAGACTGACTTCTTCATTCCTGTTTCAGTCCATTTCTGAAAAATACCTTCCACGCTGAGTAACTGCCCCAAAGATTAAGGGTAAAGCAGACAGACTCCTACCCATTTTCTTTTTCCCCTAGCAACTACAGTGCGTGGCTTATGAAGTACATTGCAAAATCCTGTAAGGCTGATGCTGGCAGTTTTGTGGGCCACCCCAGTTGAACCAGCTACAGATATAGTTTAGATGAATACACCTACTTGATGAACAAAGAAAGTGAGCTCATTTGCCTTGACAGGGACTATGCTGTCCTGCTTGAGGCTGTTTGACCGATGAAAATATCTTGCCATAAAGTAGATTCATGTTACTGTTTACTGAATGCTAAAGCTGCCAGCCCTGATGATTGAGTTTGCAGATTTTTGGGTTGGGACTGTGCTGCTGTCTAATTGATTTTCAGCTGTTCTACTACATTACCCAAAAGTCAAAAATTATAATGCTGCACATATATGCACACGTATGGACATACAAGTTGGTCTTAGTTGTGCAAAATAATACATGATGGTTAAGTGAGAAAAAGAAATAAATTGTTTAACTTGTATTTATATTTTTTGTATTTTAACTTCGGCACTAAAATTTCAAATTCAGTATTATTGTTAGATTAAGAAAATCAAAACTAAGAACAGGACATCTCTGGACTGTTTCTAATATTGTCAATGCACTATCATTACTGTAGCAGATTATGCCTAAGAGAAACAGAATTCAGCAAATGAGTTTCAAAGGCTGGTTTGACTTAGTTGAGGGCTATGGAGAAACAGGCATGCAGGAGCGGTTGCCGCTGATGGAGTCCTCTCATGTATGAATTTTCCTTTACTCCTATCTGGTACAACTGGAAACATATTTTATTTCCCACTGAGTTAAGAAAAGGCCTCATCTAACTGAAATTTTTAAAAGCTAGGCAAATAAATGAGCATATTGGTTTTTAACAGCCCTAAAAAGCAAACAACAGCCATATTAAATTTTGCCAAGGCTAGTTGATTTGCTTCCTTGCTAACAGTTTTGACAAATCAAGGTTGTGTCTCTTCAAGTTTTTCCTTGTGTCTGCCCAAAGTGTAGACCAGCAGAGCCCATTTGTGCAGCTCCTCTGTTCATACCTTACCCAGAGAAGGGCTGGGACTTTGGCATGGAAGTACAGGGCTTCCTTTGCACTGTCTTAACTTATGTGATTTTACTCTCTCTCTTTCTCTCTCTTTCTCTGTCTCTTTCCTGATTTGGCTGCTTAGGGACAGACAGGTAATGGAGAAGAAATTGAAAGGGAAAATACAGGGAAAATGTAAATGAAAAGAAGTTATTATAACTGTTATAATGAAGTGCCTTTCATTTAAATATAAGAATGTAACGCTGAAATGAACTTGTGATCCTGAAATGCATTTTTAATGAGTTTCCTTTTTATTTTGCTGCTTCAGTGGCATATTTTAAAGACCCTTTGAAAAAAGCCACATTAAAAACCCCACCAAATGCCACAACATGCAAAATTGGATATTGGTTTATTCCAAAACTGCTGATCAGGAAGAGTGGCTCTTCAACACAAAATGTTGCAGTCACTTTATTTAAATGAGTTTGAATTTGCATTGTGATGTGCCATTCTGATTTAGAAAAAAAAAATTAGATTTTCAGATCAAATTGACCCAGCCAGTGAAGCATTAAGAAACTGGCAGGTTTAGTCTGAAAGCCTCATGTTATATCAAACCTGCAGCCGGTGGAAGTCACAGAGCAGCAGTGAGAAAACAACTTTCTCACTGAAATCTTCCTCTTGTTACCACGTAAGATTTTTTGTTCTCACATATTTTCTCCTTCTCCCCGTAGGAGAACGCCCTTTCCAGTGCAATCAGTGTGGAGCCTCCTTTACACAGAAGGGCAACCTTCTGCGCCACATAAAGTTGCACTCGGGTGAAAAGCCCTTCAAGTGCCACCTGTGTAACTACGCCTGCCGCCGCAGGGATGCCCTCACGGGACACCTGAGGACGCACTCAGGTAAGTGGAAGTGCGGGAGTGTCCAGGGACGCTCGTCACTGCACCTGTCGAGGGGACGGGGGCACTCGTGGCCACCAAGCCTGAGAGGTCCCACCCTCGGGAGGCGAGTAGCCCCGTCTTGGGGTTAACCAAGCTGTGAGCTGGCCACCATGTCTTAGCAGCAAAGGAATGACTAAACACATCTCACGCTCGCGATCCTTCACCAAAAGAACTGGGTTTTTTCCCATACTTCTTGTCTGATTAAAAGTTTCTCTAGTAGGGTTTCATCTTACGAGCCTCATGTGAGTAATCCATTTCATAGAACTACGAGCATGAATTAAAGCTGATGAGTATTTTAGAGTTTGGTGGCATTTATCCACATACGGAGACAATATAAGGCCTAAACAGTAGGTTTTAAGTCACAAAGTCTCAAAAACCTCCGTTCTTATAGTCATTCTCGACCTAAGGAGTGAATACCACCTACAGCATTTAGCAGCAGTTTTTTGTTGCACCTTGTTATTACAAGCACTTTGAAAGGATGGTGAGGAGGGAGAGGGTGGGAGAGAGAAAGATAATAATCTTCCAAAAAACAGGACTCTGCTAGAGTTCTTCAGTTTTTTGTCTCAACAGTAATATGGAGAGCTGAACAAATATTTTTGAAGAGCTGCACTTTCCCATTACCACAAACCTCTCATTGTTTGACAGAAGCCATAGTAACATAGTTTCTGTGAAGCAAAACCAATTTAGCACCTTTAAACTGCCTTTAAAAGCAGAGTGTTGTCTCATCTAGTTTCCCAAGCTAAACTGGAAATGTAAATTGTTATTTGGATAGGAGACCTCCAAATCACATTGCTGGAAATTACACTGGTAACATTACTTGCAAAAGGTGGCTCTGAGACCAAGTTCTGGGTAGCAGAGGGGAGGTCTCAAAGTGACATTTTTGCGCTGCACAAAACTAAGGAAATTCTTCTCCAGCACACTCATTAAATAGTAAGATCCCTATTGTCTGTCCCAGATGTCCAACATAATCTCCACTTCTGTTCGGTCCTGGCCTGATTCAGGAAAGCACATCTTTAAAATACTACTTTGCCTCCCTCTCCCTTGCTGTTGCTGATTTTTGTGGCTGCACAGTTTTGAACATAATTTTGCATATATACATGAAATTACACCTAGGCACTTTTGGCAAACTCTGAGGACTCGATAGCTAAAGGGACAATGCATAAACTATAGATTGCGGTTTGTTCCTGCAAGTGACAAATTGACATCAACACATTATAAAACAAGTTGGATGTCTGAGTCTGATTTTTACCTGAGAATTTGTAAATAAAATTCAAAAGTTAAGCTATGTAACCATCTAAAATTGTGAAATCACCTATAAGGTGACAGTCTTAGCATGCTAAGACAGAAAATTCAGGTCCAGAAGTCTATGACACCATATTGTTACTGTGAAATTCCTGGAGCTACCTACATCTGGATTGGTGTATTACAGAAAAAAAAAAAAAAAACGTTGTCATGCCATATCTCTTGAATTTCCAGAAGTAGAAAACATGTGAAATCTAACGTTATCCTAGAAGGGTTGAGCTGGTTCTGGTTACATCAGAACCAACATCCATCCGTGGGCAGGTGTCTGTACCTACAATACCAGTTCCCCCACTGGCAGTCTCTGTGGGAGTTAGGCACTAAAGCAACTATGCTCAGACCTTTGAAGGTGTCTCAGTTTCTAACTTGTGTAAATGCCGGTTTTGAAGATTTAATGTCACATTCCTTATCTGATATGAGTCATCTGAAATCAGTTTGCAGCACCCACAGAATTGGCCTGTTGATGTAAAGATATACAACTAGTTTTCCATTAGATTTTTATTTTTTTTTAATTCACAAAATCTTTCTTCAGTTCACCACAGCATGGGTTTACTTTTGGGGTGGGCTTTTTTCCTGCTGTTCTTACCACTATTAATATGCTGTTGAATGCCTCATCTGAATCTCTCAATTAATCGTGTTTTCTCCAGTTGGCAAACCCCATAAGTGTGGCTACTGCGGTCGCAGCTATAAGCAGCGCAGCTCTTTGGAAGAACATAAAGAACGCTGTCATAACTACCTGCAAACCATGAATATCTCCAGCAGCCTTTATTCAGGTAACAAATGTGTCCATTTGGGGATTACCACTGTCCTGTCATGTATGCAGAAAAAGGAGTGCAAAGGAACAGTAGTACCATTTTGTGGCATCTTTTGCACTGGGGAGGCACACACACAACCCATATGTATGATATCGCATCTGGATTTAGTCTATATTTGATAAGTATTTGGCTGTTGTCTCCTTTTATTTAGCTCAAACAAAAAGCCAGAGTGAAACTCAGGCATGTAATAAAATACTTGCAAGACCCGGAAGATGTCAGCTCACCATCTCAAGACAGTATGACTGCACCATCTCACCACTTTTCCCTTTTGCTTGGAATCCAATATTGTAGTACTCTTGTGGATGTATTCTTAATAAAGACTTTATATCGGTGTTCTGAGTAGGGCTGCAGAATCTTCTGCATTGCACATCTCCTTCCTTCCCAGGCACAGCTTAAGGGGCTTACTCGACCACTGGGACCAACTCGTCTAACAGGGATGAGCCATCTGTCTTTCATCTCACTCTTCCAAGCAAGAGGATGTGAAGCCAGAGGCATTTAATTTAACCAGTTTGACTGAGACAGTCCAGAAAGGCTAATAATTTGTTGACAGCCTTCTTCCCAACCTCCCCTTTAAGAGAAAACTGGGGCGAGGTGGTGAGCTGTTGTGCTTCTCTGAGAGACTGGTCTTATGATAAAGGTAAAGTACATTTCTTAGAGAATATAAAAACTAAAACTGTGCCCAGAAATAGAGCAAGCACGTATTGGGGTTTGGATCTTTTTTTAGCAAAGATCCCAAAGATCTATATGGGATTGATCACTGTAAATAAACATACAAAATCCCCTTGCACGTACAGATTTAGACAGAGAATGTAAGATCCAGCTTCTATGATGGAGTTTAAGCCCATCCAGTAAGTTACATTTCTTACATACCTTTTTGATCCTGTCAGTATATGTTATTTGGTTTGTCAAATGACAAAAACGGAAGGTTGTCTCTGACCTATTTGCAATGATGCTTCATTTAATATTTTATATCTGGACAGAACCTGAATATGTTTTTACATGCTATCAAATAATGTAAAGTATATGCACATAATGATAGCAGTGAATACAGCTGAGATGCTTCTGGCAGACAGCATGTTAGAGCAACGCCCCTTCTAATTTTATTGAGAGGCTGGAGAATAAATAAATAGAAAAGCTCAGTGTAATATACAGTAGGCAGCAATACTTATTCCTCAAAGAGGTGATAGGATTTAGAAGTAAATACTGTCTTGGGATTTGAATTTTCAGTGTCTGGCACATGGATTTGAATGCCTGCATGCAGAACGTGAAAAGCTGTGTGAATGAGTAGCTGAACTACTACTAAAGTCTTAGTAATCAAAAATATCCAGATGAAACTGGAGTCAGGAATCATAAACTTTAGTAAGAAATAATACATGTTTATAGCAAGTCATGACAGAAGAGTTTACGCTAGCTGAGGACTGACTACCTAATATCCGAGTGGGGTGGAAACTTGGGAAATTCATGAATGCTTTGGAAGAATTACTTGCATACACTGAAAATATCATATAAATGCATATTTGATATAATAGGAGTGCTTTTACAAATTACAGAAAAAAAATATTAGAGATTAACATTGGGGTTTAGACCTTATATCCAGCCAAAGACTTCACTCTTAAAAAATTTAGTACTCAGTTAATAAATGAATTCTTTATGTTTCTAAAAAATGAAACTTTCCTGCGTTTTTTCTAGTATTTTGCATTCTAATCTATTCTACTTCACTGCAAACATAACATTTTGCAATGTTTACGTTATTTCCCTTACAAAGTCAAAGATGAAAATGTGCAATGAAACAGTTGAGAATGAGTGAGTGTCCTGGGATTTTTAGTGCATTCTACACTCTACCTAGAAAAGCAAGTAGCTATACTACCACTGCTCTTATAATATTTCAGGGTGCAATATGGAGCTATTAGAGACATAATTCAGGCCCCCTTTTTTTTTAAATCCAGACTCAAAACAGTTGGTACTTCTGATTTGACATTTTGCTACAACAGGATTGCTTTTTACAGCATTTTTAAAATACTTTGTGCAGTATACATAGAAAAAACGTCAGTTGAAAGGACCTAAATTGGCAGAAGCTTTCCATCAGCTTGTAAATTTAACAAATATAATCAAGAAAGTATTTAAATAAGGGAGAGATCCAGCAAAGAGGATTAAGGCGGGGAAAAAGAGATTGTATTTGTATTTTAACTTTTGTTTGCTTTCTTTAAGAGAAGTAGGTTCAGCATGAAATTAGGAACCTGCTGAACTTAATGGCAAAATTCTTATTTTAGAAGATGAGAATCTCACTGTCCATGTGAAGTTCTCTTAGAGGTATTATCTGGAGTTTTGCATTTGAATTGGGTGGAAGTGTGCTGAAGTCTTATTAGGCCTTTATAAAATAACAGAAGAAATAGTTTATGAAGATTAAAAAGGGTCAATTACAATTCTTCAGTCACTTGTGGATTTTCATTTGGAAAGATAAAATATTTTTTTTTTCCATTTCACAGACACCAAATTACATAAAAATAGTTATCAAGTTGGTAGCAAATTTCAGGGGGTTTCAGTTGCAAAGGCTGAAAAATAGTACCTAATTCAGTTTGGCCTTTGTTTTTTTAATAGCATTTTTGAAAGCTTGAAAGTTGAGTACGTAACTTACACTCTCTTGAACTGATTAGAAGTGGAATGTCATTATATCCTAAACAGATATTTCTTGGTCATTTCAACTTTTAACTGAAAATTGAAACTTTTGTTTTCTTGTTGAACGGGCTGCTTTAGAACATTCTCTCTAAATCTCTTCCTGAAGTGGTAGTGGCACAAGGTGCTGGCCTGTGCTTGTTCAGTGATGACTAGGTACTATCAATACCTTTTACTTTTCTGCACCTTCGTGACTAAATTCTGCTCATATCTTGCATTGGTCACAATCTTTAGCATCTTATGGGGCTGGGGCATAAACCCATGAGACTCCATGTCACTGTCACTGCAGTATGTGCAGCTGCAGCAGGGACTCAAGAACCAGTTGTATACCCTCCAGTTTGGTTTTGCAGTGTTGTTGTCTAGGACACTTCACCTGCTCCTTCCAGTTATCCACCAGACCCTGATTTTGCAACTTTCAGGAACAATGAAACTTTCACAATCATCCTTTGATGGCAGTGGTATGTTGCCAGAATGACATTGCATAGGAACAGCGTGCTCTCAACTATTGAGAAACATCCAGGTACCAGAGTAATGGATTCTGTGAACCAGTAAATCCAGTGATAAAACAAATTCGCAGCAAGCGCAGAGTGCAAAATGTAGCAGGGTGGTGCAGGTGCACCTAACTGAAATAGCTTGCAGAATCAAAGTCTAAAAATCATCTTTTGCTTCACGCTTTAATAGCAACTCACAAATTCAGGAAAAATATCCATATCCTAGTAGCAGGTGAAAGTAAAATTAATCCCTTTCCTGTCTCAGAACCCCCCTTGACAGAATAATAATTAACAAAAAATAAAATAAATAATAAAAACCAGTTGTGCTGTAATCTCACTGCCTATAACCTTTCCTTTAGATGTTGGAAATCAGAAACACTTTTCCATATATTTTTCACAGTCATTGTTTATACTGCATTTTCATACATCCCTTCTGTTTCTGCAAGAAAATACTGAGATAAAATGTAGTGAAATAGTCTCCCTTTCCTAGAGCCTCACAGCTAAGTTCCTTTCTAATTCTACAGTGTCTCAGCAGCAGCAGGAGGTTGGGAAACATGTTTGAGTAGTGGAAATCAGTGCTCCACTATAGGTGTGACTTTAGCAACTTAATTTGTCATTTGAAGTCTAAAATTGCATCAAGGAAGCACAAAAATATTTACTAGGGAAAAAAAGGGGGTGGAGAGAAAGGTTGGTGTAGCTTGCAAATACATCTTCCACTGCTGGAGTTGAGAAGTTTGTCCATTTTTCCTGCTAAAAAGCAACGATCATACAGTGGTTCCACTGGGAGGGGTGCAGAGGGATGGTGGGGGGTGACAGCGGGAGGGTGAAAAGGTGAACTGCTTCGTGTGCCGTATAATGTTAGGACCTCATTTACGGATGTAAATGCAGAGTGGCTGTAGAACAGGGGTTGTGTGATTACATTACATACAGGCAGACGCCTTGCGGTTGCAACCTCATTTTTGTATCCTCAACAAGAGAAACATGAGCATGTACATAGATTAATCAGCGTGAGGGACTTCGTTACCAAGAGTCAGAATCATCCTGTGCCTGCAGTGGTACGCTCCTCCTTCCAGCTGGTTGGGAGCTAAAAGACATTAGTGGAGAAACAATAACCTGAAGACAATAGTTCCATTAAAATGGAACAAGCGTGCCTAACCCTTCTGATGTCATTTGATTTCAGTCATAAAAGAGGAAACTAACCAGAGTGAAATGGCTGAAGACCTGTGCAAGATAGGGTCAGAAAGATCCCTCGTGCTGGATAGACTAGCAAGTAACGTCGCCAAACGTAAGAGCTCTATGCCTCAGAAATTTGTTGGTAAGAGTTAAACGTTTGCTGTCTCCTAAAAAATTAAACAAAACAAAACCCAAAAAACACCTCACGAGATTTTTACTTTTGTTTTATGATTTTACTTGTTTTACTAAATTAGCAATATCTATAGAAGCAGATACAGCGATGTGTTGGGGTTAAAAAAAGCAACCAAATTTCTCCAGCATACATTTTTGCATGTTTAATTTCCCACATCTGGAGATTGATTGTAAGTCTCTTTCCTGTCTTTTTCTAATGCTTATAAACCAGATCATTACAAGATCTGCACAGGCTCTTGAAGTTGCCTTAAGAACCTGAAGATAGGAATAGAAGTTTCCTATTGGGAAAGCATTTGACCACACTTCCAGGGTTACTGTATTAACTTCTTGGATGACATCCAGATCTGGGCATATTGGTGTTTGTGAAAGCATTTATGAATTGTTGAGCATAGGCTGGGTAATATTCTTGAGCCCCTCATAAAGTCCATATGCTTTTACAGACCAAAATGATCATGGAAATAAATAAACCCGAGCCAGAGAATAATACATAAAGGAAAAGGTCTTTGAGTACTTTTTATAAACAATGCAAAAACTTCATGCCCGTTTTCACCTAGTAGTTTTTGTCTTAATAATGAAAAAACGGAGGCTACACCTATATTGTTCTGTTTGGTAAGCCTGTGTTGAGTAGTGGTTACATGAGTTTTGTAATAGTGAGACCCACAATACTTTGTCAGCTATGTATAGTTAGTCTTAAGTGAATAAAAACATTGGGGGTCAGAAGACAGCATATACTCCTATCTAGTTAGATTACTTTATAATTTGCTGCACATTCGTTTATAATATTATTCTATAGGAGACAACTGGAGAAAACTGAAGTCTTTGAAACAAAACACACATTAAGAAGGTCTTCAGTCAAAAGTCAAGGCAAAGAAAAGATCAGTTTATGGGATAGAAATTCCAAATATTTGTTCTTGAATGAGGCCATAAGGGTGAAAGGAAAATTAGTATTTCTGAGGCAAGGAAAGGGGAATCTCAACTATGTCGGGAGGTGCAACAAAAGGTTTGAAATGAAAGTCCAAGACAGTTTTCGAGTCCAAATGCAACAATTCCAGGAGGTAGTCAAGAATAAGAAATGTTTATGCTTACAAAAGGACAAAAGTTGTAGTAGAGGTAGTTACCAAAATTACATCGACTATGTGGGGCAAACCTAATTCATTTACACACTCTAGTAACTGATTGCATTAGGCAAAATACTAATTCTGTGAAAGCTCCAGGAAGACCAGAAGTGTTAAAATTTAAAAGGTACTAGTAAGTATCCTATATGCAATGTATCCGTGGGTGTGGACTAGCTTTTTCGTTCTCCTTTTCTCTCTTCACCCTGAGAAACGGTAAAGACAGCCAGTTTAACTACGAGTTTTAGGAGGGCAGAGTTTCCTGTCAGTTAGTTATTCAGGGTGCGGTGAAAGAAGACAACCTACTGACAGCAGATATTTATGGAAATTTGCTAACCTTCAAAAGGATGAACTTTTCTGACAAGAATATGCCCCCAAATCCTTTCCTTTCCAATCCTCACCTGCTGTTTCGTGTAATAGGTACATTCCTGATTAACGCAAGGTTGGGCTGGCTGGTCAGGAGAGCTTTTAGGTAATAAAACATGTTTATTGCTCCTGTAGATTACCATGTCATCCCAATCCCCATGCTGAATTCCAGGGAGAAGGAGCAAATGACATGCTTCACATAAGGCAAAGACTGCTGCTTCACTCTTTTTTCTCAAGGCTAAATTCATTACCTTTCAAAAGTGAGATGTTCACCAAATTAAGCCAGATATTTGTAAAATTCTGTCTGTATTCCAAACTGGAATAGCTCCCAGACCTGAAAGCAGAATGGGGCCATCCAAACTAGAGAGTGAAAACTGCAGGTGCCGTTGACATGTTTAAACAATAGGCAGCAAAGAAAAGAGAAAGGGTTTAAAAAAAGAAAAAAAAAAAAGAAAAAAGTGCCCACATGCACTGAGTGCATTTTTACTATTAGGTACCTGCTGCAGAACCTTGAGCAGTGCAAAGCTTGAAGTGCATCAAACCATTAGGAGTTTAATTTACTTATGCTCTAATAACCACAGAAATGAGCTATTATTTTTAATGAGTGCAAGTATTACCTGCATTGCCCAGATACAGAAATGATACCTGCCTACGTCAAGTTTGTGTCTGTTTCAGACACTCTGCTTGGAAACAAATTTTTCATATGACCACTTGATCATCTCATACCAACTACCAACCAGTTATGCTACATAAAGCAAATGCTACCCAAGAAACAGCTATTAAAATCATGCCTTCTGGGTGCCCAAAATTTTGTGTGTAATGAAGACCAGTCCCACTTCTCAGTGGTATACAGTACCCATGGAATATAAACAATTTTGACCTCATTTTTTTCCTCCTTGAGTCAAGGGAATACATTCATATTAGGAGAGTTTTCCTATATTGAATTCAAGAGTCTTTCACAACGCCGATTTTGAATCTTAAGCCTTCAAACTCTGCCTGAAAACTACAGCATTAAGAAAGGGTAAACCTGGAAGAAAAGGGAATGCACCCAGTTAGAGGGGTGCCTGAATTGGCAGAATAATAGGGAAAGGAAACAAGAGGCAATAGAAACTTGTGCAGCACAGCTAGAAGGTGTCTGTACCCTACATCCCTTGTAGGAACTTAGGCAATGCTCAGAGTGTTTCTTTCTCTGCTTGCAGAGCATGGACAAGCTAGTATGCAACCATATACTGCAGGAAACATAGACAGCAGGACTTTCTCACACCTTAGCCCCGGCATTGCAATAGCGTCGTGCTAGAAGTTTTCTGGGCTCTTCACTGACTTTGAATAGTCAATTTGGGTAGAAGCTGGGTGGGAAATTGCTGATAAATTAATTTGCAGATCTTCTGGTAAAATTTCCATGCTCTTATTAGCATTTTTTTTTAGACAAATTAGGACTTTCCAAGGCCTACCAGCAAATGTCATGTTGATTAGGAAATGGTAACAGCACCTCACAGAGATGTTTGTGGCTTTCAATGAATTTCACGAGATCTGCAGACCTAGAAAATCCATCTGGACTGTAAACCATGTGTTATTTATAGTCCCTAGGAACCTGTGGGAATTTTTTACCCCTTTGCATTTACACAGATTTATTAGGGGACTGATAATAATGTTGATGGTTTACACTGTTTGAGAAGACTGCTCAGGTTCATAAAATCAGCATCTGTGCATTTAAATAGTTTCTCCCACTCCTAACTTTTACTTTCTGTGTTTTGCTTAGTCCTATCTGTCCAGGAATTTTGAGAAATTGTAGTGAAACTCAGCATTCAATACTAAGCTATCCAGCTAGAGATACATGAGTGCAGTCTGATTTTTAAAAAATTAAAGAGTCCCCCCCCTTACTTTTGGCATCCCAAATCAGAGTCAAAGTTACAAGTAGCAAGTAATCTTGCTCTTTTTACCTCATAGGAAAAATATATTCCAACTACAAATGCACTTAAATTTTTTCCATGTTTCTTGGCTGCTCCTGCAGATGATAACTTTTTGACACAAAATTTCTAGGAACATGAGTAGCTTCCAGTAATGGGTCTAATATTGCTTTTTCAAAAATAAGGGGGGAGGCGACAATAGGAAAAGGTAATTTTTTGTTAATTTTTCTCCAAAATGACATATGACCACATTGCTGATGTGGTTTATTTGTAAGAAACTGAAGGTCTAAAACTAAAAAATACAATTTCCAGTCTAAAATTGTAATATTTTAGGGAAAAATGCTCATAATGTGCTTCATGCTCTGAAGCATGAAGGCCAGGCTCACCGTAACTGTGCTGGTACACTGTCGTCACTAACCACAGAGGCGTGCCTCAGCTCACTGTAGGAGGCAGCTGAGGGAATCCAGTTAGAAAGGAGAAAGAGAGGATGAAGCACTCGATCTGTAGCTCCCATGAAACTCCATATAATTATTTCCAGAATCTGTTTTCATCCATTTGCTTTTCCAAAGACCTCAAATTATTTCGCAGGTTAAAAAAAAAAAAAAAAAAAACAAACAAAAAACACATCAACCAAACATTTCTCTGACCAGCTATATTAGAGAGCTATCAGTACCTCAGGTGAATTTCAGAGGTGGATTTGCTTAGCTCTTTTTTTTCCATGTTGCTGTTTTATGAATCCATGATGTTCGGTTCCTTAGCTGTGCAGAAATCAACCCTCTAACTCCTGACTGTTTTTCACTGCAGGTGAGAAATGTCTGCCCGATCTCCCGTACGATGCCACCACCAACTATGAGAAGGAGAATGAGATAATGCAGACGCACGTTATCGACCAGGCCATTAACAACGCCATCAGTTACCTGGGGGCAGAGTCCTTGCGTCCCCTTGTCCAGACACCACCAGGTGGTTCTGAGGTGGTGCCCGTTATCAGCCCCATGTACCAGCTCCACAAACCTCTCGGGGACAATCAGGCTCGCTCCAACCACACAGCTCAGGACAGCGCGGTGGAAAACTTGTTGCTGCTTTCCAAAGCCAAATCTGTCTCCTCTGAACGAGATGCCTCTCCCAGCAACAGCTGCCAAGACTCAACAGATACAGAGAGCAATAACGAGGAACGCAGTGGTTTAATTTACCTGACAAACCACATAGGTCCCCATGCAAGAAATGGCATCTCTATAAAAGAAGAAAACAGGCAATATGATGTCTTGAGGGCAGGTACTGACAATTCCCAGGATGCTTTCAAAGTGATCAGCAGCAATGGGGAGCAAGTGAAAGTTTACAAGTGCGAACACTGTCGAGTCCTTTTCTTGGATCACGTGATGTACACGATCCATATGGGCTGCCACGGGTTCCGCGATCCTTTTGAATGCAACATGTGTGGCTACCATAGCCAGGACAGGTACGAATTCTCTTCCCACATAACTCGAGGGGAGCACCGTTTCCAGATGAGTTAAAACTCCTCCGGCACAGATCCGGCCTCAACAGCTGCGCCACTGGAGCTGCACGAGCCACGACAGCCACAAAGCACAAGTCAGCTGGACAGTAAAAGTACCAAGAAAATCAAAGGTTCAGCTATCTTCTCCCACAAGAAAAGATATTTCCTTTTGGTAGCATGCATTGCAACTCAGTTTTCTAAAATGAGTACTAAAGTTTTTACTGAAAATATTTGATCACCAAAAACCTTTAGTAACGTAAGTAGGAGCTTTTGTAGTCACATAGCTGAAAGCCCTTCCCTTGACTGATGCTTCTTGCAAACCTCCCTTGCCAAAACTGTTAGCCATGCGCAGGATGCACCATGCAGACGAGGACGCACCAGGCAGGAGTGGCCAAGCTTTCTCTCTTAACACCCTGAGCGTAGGGCTCTTACACCAGATGTAAGTTTTTTGACTTCCTGGTATTGTGTGACTCCTTTGGGAAGATTAAACTTGACTAAAGATGGAGGGGCCCCTCTCAGATGACTTCACAGACAGCTAGGGTTGGACGGGACCCCCCAGCCAGAGGGTTCTGAGTTGCTTCGGTGGTAAAAAGTAGAACGTTTCTTCCTGCAAGGGTGCTGCTGGTGTTGACATCATGTCATGCCTTGTTTGTGTCACTAGGCAGGTGAGCAGGTATGTAAAAGATAGAAGAAACACCCTTGTAATATACTCTGTGAAGTATGAATTGCATTTAATGTATAGAAGAAGGGTATTGTTGGCTCTTTGAATAAATGTTTTCTCTCCCTATCCAATAAAACCCCACTTTTCTTTAAGCAACCCTTCCTCTCTCTGCATAAACTAGCTACAGTGTATTTAATTTTTCTTCCTTCCCCTTTTAGTTATTTAGAAAAGTACGATGTACAGTTGAGAAGCACTAGCTTTTATGTGTAGGCAAAGTCTCCTTATGCGCACTTCTCATCTTTTTAAACAGCCTGGAAACTATCCAAATGTCCCTCTCTTACATTAAAAAAAAAAAAAAAAAAAAAAATCCCATTTTGCTTGCACAGAAGATGTCCTCTTGTAGATTTTGTGGCTCTACTCGTAACTGTTGCACTTAAATATTTTTGCTGAACTAAACCAGCCAGTTGAAATCTGTAGCCTTCTTTTTCCCTGGCACTTTCTGCTTAACAAGGGACCAAGCCCCACTAAGGTTCTGAGAACCGTGGCTTCCTATTCAACAAATCATTTCACCATGTGCTTTAAGTTACTTTTACTTCAGTGGAACTAATCTTAAGTTTAAAAAAAATGGCATTTTGCTGGATGGAAACTGGAGACTGCAGCACTTTCCAGAGCGCAGTGGAGTCCACCAAGAGCTTTCTCCATGGCAGGTTCTGCTGCAGATACTGTAACTTCAGTTAGAATAAAAACTTGTATGACAAATAGATTTTAACACCAAACACAGCTGACACAAAAAAAAAAAAAAAAAAAAACAAAAAAACCAACCTTTTTTTAAAGCTTCTATTTAACTTCCTCTTCCAAATAGTTGATTCCTCTCCCTGAACACCCTTGTACTTTAAGATTGGGCAAAAAAGAAATTTTTGCAGCTGCATAAAAATCTGTCATCAGTGCTGCAATACTTCCTGGGCAGCATTTGTGAAAATAACCCATCTTATTAACTTAGTGTATAAATAATTCCACTCTGCATAATAAATGGATATTCTGCAGTAAACACACTCATATAACCAACAAGACTAGCAGTCTTGTCATACAGTTACACATTCTCCATTCACAAGTGCTTGCAAGCACATATATTTATTATAAACGAGATTTGATGGACCCATGAACGCTTGTACTTAGGCCAGTTTGGCCTGCTATGTGTAGCTATATTTGGTACACATTTCCTATATATATGTACTATTATAGGCACGCAGAGTTCCTTCTTCTGCTTTCACTTTTGCAGGTGTAAGTCAGGAGCAACAACACCGAAGTTAAAGATCCTGATGGAATAATGAATTACAAGTATATGCTTTTACAATCTCATGTCTTAGCTTTTCATGCTGACTGTAAGACACTTCCTTCATCTGACACGTGGGCACGGAGGTGAAGGTGCGTGCGTGCATGGCGATCCAGTAGCTTTGTCACCAGATGGGAGTGCTGCGTATGAACATCTACAGAGTGGTACATATACCCACGACAGTGAAAACAAATCACTAGTACGTGATAGGTAGGCTAGTACACACAGGGTGGCAAGTGACCCCCCCAAAAAATGAGGAGTGTAAACTACAGGCCCAAAGGTGATCCCCTCCGCCCCCACATTATAACTCAGTTACCTCAAGAGACATTATTGCTTGTTACGTTCCAGCACGAGACACAGTGCAGGGGGTGGGCACGAGGAATTCTCAGCCACTTTCACGTCCCAACTAGTTTTGTCATCAACGCCTGCTATGCATTCGGCTTCAAGACAGACTGTGCCTGGCAACGAGGTATTACCGAATATTTCATACAGGAATAACCTGAAGAGGACCTTCAAGGAGTGGGCTTACAGTGATGAGCTTCCTTTATTTTTTATTTTTTTTTAATAAAGTTTAAATGGGTTGATTTTTTCACAGCTGGTAGGGATACATTCAGCCGTTCTTACTCCTCTCCACTCATGATTGATACCAACCAAGAAGGGACAAAGGAATTTCCCAGCTCTGCTGCAATGTCCTGTGTGAAGTCAGACGCTGGCTGTACAGAAACATTCTGCTTTTATTGCCCTTACACCTCTTTCCTACTTCTCTTAGGTTTAGGCCACTATATACCCCATGCCATAATTTTTTTTAACCCTGCATTTTAAGACACCCCAAACTGCAAAGGGGAGGGGTACAGAAACTTACTCAGGTGGTTTTGTTTCTTTGGTTTTAACAAAATCCAACACAATTAAAGCCACGTTCATTAACTGTATAAACAAGCATAGCTCCAGTGGAGTTTAAGACTGCCTTGAACTTAGCTTTTAAATGTGGTTTCCCATTACTGGGTAGGTTCACTGGCTTTGCAGCATCTCCGTGCACACGTGCACGTGTATGAGTTTCTGTGTTGCTTTTCTTGCCAACATGCACATGCCCTAGCTGTAGTTTTGTGTATCATTAATATTTTATATACATATCTATGTGTTTATATTTCTAAAATGGTTCACATGACATGATGATGCCCTGTCAATCACAGTGGGTTTGTTTCCTGGGTCTGGAGTTTTCTTATTTATACTATAACAGAGTATGTTGATGTTGTATATTAAACAGTACAGTAGTATAAGTAAGTATATTAAGACACAGTGTATCAGAGGACATAGTCTAAAGGCAGGAGCAAACAGCATTCTCTGTTCACGAAGGGGTTTTTTTAGGTTTGCTTTTTTCAGTGTTTTTTTCTTTTTTGCACAAAATCATCTTCAATTTGTTTAGAAATAAGTGTTCCAGTAATTTTATTTATGAACATATGCAGGGATGGCATGAAAATAAGATGTTGTGTGCGTGTACATTGAAACAAACTGTGCCCTCAGAAAAATAGTTTAGTGTAATCTCCCTTTTTCTCTTTTTTTTTTTTTTTTTTTGCTATGGTGCAATACCCTGACATGGTTTAGCTGAACCCTAAATTGAGTAAATATGGTGAATGGCTTTAAGTTTGTATCTGTTTTAAAAAAGTAAAAAAACCCTCTGCTTCCCAGCACTTCCCCAGACACTGCCTTTTCTAATAGAAAAGTTGTATTTAGACACTTTTTTTTTTTTTTTTTTGGCTGTGATTTTATATTGTAACTTCATTTTTGTTTGCAAGCATTGTATTTAAAAAAAAAAAAAAAAAAAACAAAACAAAAAAACAAGCAAATTTCATAAAAATTGGAAGTGTTATTAAATTGTGTCTGCCAAGCGCGATGTATCTTTTAAGACACGAGGACCCGGTAAAACACCGAAGCCCAAGCCCCGGCGCGTTTCTGTTGCTCTCCTGGTGGGTGAAGGACTCGCCAGGCACAGCGGGAGGCCCTGGAGGGGACGTGGGGGGGGGCTGTGGGGTGCGTGGGGCGGGCGTGGGGCGGCGCAGGCAGCTCGGCGGGCGGGGGGGGGGGGGGAGCGCCCGGCACCCCGCACGGCCAGAGCCGGGGGGCGGCCAGGGCCGGGGGGGAGGAGGTTGCTCCCTTCCCAGCCCCCCCCCCCCCCCGCTTGCCCTCCCCGCCCACCAGCCCGGCGAAGTCATTACAGAACGCAATTACTTCTGCATCTAGAGTCACGGTAATTCAAAGTAAAACACCGAGACATTATTTCTGCCATTCGCCGTAACAAAGGTGATTTCTCGGCAGGTGTCCCCCTTCCCTTCAGATTCCAGCACAGTAAATTTCACATCACATATTTAATGCAAACAAGAATCACTGTTTTGCCTTGAAAAAAGCACCATTTATGAATTTTTAGAAATATTTCCATTTGTGAAACTATTATTATGAACAATATGAGATTAAAAAAAAAAAAAACAAAGCAAACAAACTCTAATGGTATTGCAATAAACTCTTTTACAGGTTCCCAAAATCTAAATTTTCCTTACATTACTGTGATACAGTTTCATCATAAACTACGACTACTTTTCTGTAAGAAGGAACTTTTTAACATCCTAATCCTTTTGCTCACCATCATAGCTAGTTCTTATTAAATGAAATGAGCTACAAATTTCTGTTTTATCAGGTGACTCTTCTGCAAAGTAAATATGGTCTGTTAAATTATAATAATAATCACAAAAAAATGCCAAATGTAATACTCTTAATCAAAGTTATTAAATCCTTGAACTAAAGTAGAGATATCCACAGATTTAAAGGCAAGTTTTTGTACCTAAAAGTCTATTCTCGGTATCTATCTATTAGATTTCAAAGATTTTCTTAAAATCATCATATTTCTATTTTTTCCTACTCCAACAGATTGACTAAATTACATCAGAAACTGTTGTAGGTGCCAAGATATGATTTGTTGCACAGACACAAACATGCAACTACCAGGGGCAAGTATTTTCAGCCTCAAGTCCCCAGACAGGCTTCACAGTCCATATATAAGAATCTAACCACCAAAACATTATTAAGATGCGCTCAGCAACCAACATTTTCTAGTCAGTCTTTGAAATCAAGAAATACACTGAAACACACAAGATTCTCTTAGTAGATACCAAAATGAGAACTTGGAATCAGACCTGGAGCTCGCAGATCTGATAATTTAACAATTTCCTTTTTTTTTTTTTTTTTTTTTTTTTTTGGGGAGGGGGTGGGGAGCGCAAGGGACAGGGAACTCAACAACTTTTTTGGGGAAAGGGGGTTAGAAATGCTCCTGAGTTTGCAAATACACTGTGGATATTGCACTGGTTTTGACAGCTTGTGAGATGGTAAAAAACAAAGGAAAAGCTTTCACTGAAAACTTCAAGTTTCACCAGCAATAGTGACAATTTGAAAGCTCAAAATCTTGCAACTGGAAAACCAAAGTGTTTGATTTCTGAAAAAACTGTTCCTGCCTGTCTTGTCATGCAAAGCTCCAGGGCATTGTTCCCTGCTATGGGCCAGCCAGGTTCTGTCCACTATCATGAAACACTGTCAACTTCTTGTCTGGAAGGAAAATGGTGCATGAGAACAAATTCTGGTCCGAATGCATCATGAAACACAAAAACCACTCAGACCTGGTCTGTGGGAGGCAACAGAAGCCTTCATCTTATCAGGAGGTCCATTATCCCCATTTCTCAATTTTAAATTTTTGATGCATCTTTTTTTTTTGGCTACACAGACTTTGAATTTTCAGGGCTACTGGACATGCAATTCTCATTAAAGTCACTGGCAGCTGCAGGCATGCAGCATTTCTGAAATTCTGCCATAATTGCCAGAAGATGGGTATTCAGAAAACTGGAGGGCCAACAATTTGCAGAGTTTCCGTGAAAATGGGCTAGACAGGAGTGAGAAATCCAAAGCCAGGCTTCAGACAGCAGGAGTTCATCACATTTAAACAGAAAAAAGGATGCAGTGAGCATGGCTGAAACCCACCTCTTGCTAACTGA